GTGTGGGTGGGTGTGGGTCTGGGTGTGGGTGTGGATATGAATGAAGAGAAGATTAACATCTACACCCCACACCCACACCCCACACCCACACCCACCCACACCCACACACCCACACCCACACCACACCCACCCACACCCCATCACCAGCTCCACTACTTCCACCAGTTGTTTCCTAAAATAAAGAAATATGTTATTCTTTCATTTCATATTGAAGAAAAAATCAATAACATACAAGATGAGGTGGTAATTCAATTTCAGTATCACCTCAACCTTCATCTTGTTCATCTTGATTATTATTAAGATTTTCTCTATTAAAATCATCTTCATCACCTTCAATTTATACTTCATCATCAGCCCAATCTCCATCACCTGTTGCTGTTCCATCAATATGAAGATTTTCAGCAAGTTTTGTTGTTATATTTGATGTTAAACCTGCTGTTGTTGTTGGTTGATTTCCTTTGATCATTGTGCCTCCAAACATCCTTTTGATACAGCTAATAATAACCAATTCGATTCTTGTTGACTTATTGGACATGGTAGTAAAATTAATGCAACATTTGGATTCATTTCACATAACTAAAATAAATAAATATTTTATTTTGAATTATTAAATTTAACTCGAGATTAATATTGATTAAATGTATGTCTATCTTATTATTTCATATCTAACATATCAATTAAACAAAGAACAAGTAATAATAACTTTGTTGAAGTCTCAGTATTCTTACAAACTCCATACTTATCAGTCTACCGGCTTATTGCATTTTTGAAATAGAATATGAAAAGTCTTCTTATTTTTTTTAATCTACATTCTAATGAATATCAATCAGAGAAAATAAACTAAATTAACTAGGACATGGTGAGGATGTGGGTGGATGTTGGTGTGACCGAAGGCAACACCCACACCCTTTTTTAAGTGCCGAATTGTATGCAGATTCAAGTGTTTCTTAATGTGGTTTACCTATCGGAACAGTTAGTCTTTTCGCTGGAATAGATATACCAGCGAATTAACTGCGATGTGATGCTTCGAGCATATCTCGAACAACATATTCCCAGTTATTTTCCATCATCGGTACATTATATGGTGTGGGAGATCCAGGAGCGTAGCCAACGGGGGTGCACAGGATGCCCTGGCACCCCCTCCCACCTTGACCAAAAAATATCTGGAGCGGGATACGAGCTAAAAATCTTTTTGAGAAATAAAAATTTATTTTGCTGCTGGTGCACTCCCCATAATGTGTCAGGCATCCTCCTTGGAAAATTCCTGGCTACGCTACTGAGGAGATCACGTTAAGACATTTAGTTTACCTGATTTTCGTGGCCGCTTTCCATTTGGTATTGAGACAAGGCAAAGGCCCAGCTTCAAAACTGGTGGAGACTCGAAGCATGTATTGACAGAAGATGAGCTTCCTGAACATCAACATGATACAGGAACATTTCACTTATCAAGCGGTGGTGATCATACACATGCGTATGATGAACCAGGACATAATCATGGTGGTTCCACCAGCGGGACACCTTTTGGCTTCGGTTAATATTGGGGTAGTTATCACGGCGGCGGCGCTGAAGCCAATGCACGACGTACTCATACTATTCCACTTGGGAAAACGAATATTACTATTAATTCTAGTGGAAGGCATTCGCATACATTAAGCGAACTCTCTGGATCTACAGGGAAAGGAAAAGAGTTTAACTTAATTTCATCATTTCAAACGATCGATTTTATTATTTTATATCAATAATTTAATGGACATGCTTCATTCAATGCATATATTCGTTCTTGCGAAAACAGTCGATGATGGTTTTTTTCTTGAAATAAACAAGTATGAATTCTTAAATGAAGATGTGAACGTGAGGATGAATGTTAACGGTGATAATGCAAAATCATCATCCTGATTTTCGATTACTTCTCCCTCTCTTTTTCTCTTTCTCTATTTATTATTATCCATTGCTTTCTTTCTTCGTTTTGTTCTCTTGATATCTTACGCAGATACGTCTGCAAGTTTGTAAGATATAGATCGTTCCTGAAGTGGATCTTGATATGAGTGTATATAACAAAAGGATCCACACCCACGTATTCTCACACACACCCTTCATCTGTCAACGGTAGTAAACTATATTAGAGGTGTAGAAGTTGTTTTATAAATGATATACTAAATATTATGGCTGTCATCAAATTGAAAATATTCTTCTGGTCTTTTAATTATATATAAATGGTCGTTGTGTTCGTTCATTCATTTCTTTTACTTTCTTTTTTACAAAATTGATCCATTCTTAAATCTAGCATTTCCATAATGAATTTTATAATTTTTATTAATGACAAATAACTATTGTTCATTGATCATTGTACAGTTTTCCATAATATATATTGTGTGACTTCATGTTGTTCTTCTTCATTAGACGATGTCGAAAAAAAAAGTATTCAATGATCGTATTACAGTGACATCTATTTGAAAAAAAGTCTACCAATGAAAAAAATCAATAGTTAATCATAGAAATCCGCCTGATGATGACGATGTTTCTCAATTCGAACTTGGTTGTTGACTGGTTGTTTGTTTTTATTTGTCGAACAATTCATTGATTCATGAGTCTGAGTTACTTGAAGCAAAAAAATAAAAAAGGAAGAGTATGAAAACGTCACATAGATTATTGTTTTACTTGCATTTTTTTCCTATGCAAATATTGTTATCAGCATTGAATAGTTTTAAATATATATATATATATGTATTATTATATTTTCTGTTGTTTTCATAATAGGTATTTACGTATTTCTTCTAAAATAATTGATAATGAGTAATAATAAAGGTGGTGTATTATCTCGAATGTTTGGCGGATCATCAAAAGGTGGTGCTAAAACGAAAATAGCTCAAACACCACAAGAAGCTATACAACAGTTACGTGATGTTGAAGATGTTTTGAATAAAAAAGTTGAACATTTAGAAGCAAAAATAAATGAAGAAACAGCAATTGCTCGTCGTGATGCTCGAACAAATAAACGTAATGCTTTGAATGCATTGAAAAGAAAAAAACGTTTAGAAAAAACTTTACAACAAATCGATGGAACTTTAACAACACTTGAATATCAACGTGAATCTTTACAAGTAAATAAAAAATTATTTCATTTTTTTTTAATGAAATTTCGATATATATATAGAATGCTTCAATGAATGGTCAAGCATTTAATGCACTTAAAGGTGCAACAAGTGCTTTAAAAAATGTTCATAAAGAACTTGATGTTGATAGTGTTCAAGATATAATGGATGAATTAGCTGAACAACATGAATTATCAAATGAAATAGCTAATGCTATTTCAAGTCCTGTTGGTATGTTTTTAGTTTTGTTTATTTATTAAATTGAAAATAAAATTTTCAAATATTTGTAGGTTTTGGTGCTGAAATTGATGAATTTGAATTGGAAAATGAATTGGCACAATTAGAACAAGAAGCAATAGCAACAGAAATGTCTCAAGTTAATTTACCAACAGTTCCTGCTCATCCCGTTCCAATATATACTCAACCAGCAACTGCACAATCAAGCAAAGTAAAAAATGATCAATTGGCTGAATTAGAAAGATGGGCATCATAAAAAGAAAAAAACTTTTTTTTTTTTTTTTCGTTCGATTTATAAACAAAAAAAAAACAGACCGGTTGCTACCAGTGCATTCCCCCTCTTTTTTTTTGTCTTGTTTCATTGATTTTCATTCATATAAATCTATGTTTCGTCAATCAATATGATTTATAAAAAAACAAAAAAGGTTCTATTAGTTATTACACAGAAAAGTCTTCTGCTTTAAGTTAAAAATATGAAAACTTTCTTTACTGATCATCTCTCTAGATACTCTTTTTTTGCCTCGATTTTTTTTCTTCTCCTGCTTTGTATACATACGTACTGTTCTTTTTATACTTATTCTATAATTTATATAACATCAGCAAGATTAATGCTTGAAAAAAATAATAAAATACATATTTCCCGTTTTCTGTTTTTATTTTCATTGCTATTTTTAATATTTCATTTATTTTTCTAATTCGAAATTTATTTGATGATATCGTTGATGGATTTAATTAATCAAATTTATTGTATTATTTAACTTACATCACAAAATTTTGATTTCAGTTCATGGAAGAACTTCTAACAAGTAATTTTATGTTGTCTCACCATGGAATCTAATCGATTATTTGGACTCTGATAAGTTTTGTAAAATTTAATAGGATTGTTCCTCGGTGCAATTTTTTTTTACATACAAAGCGAATTATGATAAATAATATTTAGTAAATTTTTAGATTATTTTGTTTTTTAATTTAGTCCAATATATGATCAATTTTCACTTGAAATATAAGTTTTCTCTCAGTATTCTAGATAGTAGTACACTAATTATCAATATAAAATTTATTTTTAGTCACACGTACAAGACTATCATTTTTCAAAGTTTATCAAAAATCAATGAAAAAAATAGATAAAATTCATTAAAATACATCAAATCTCGTTTAACTGATCAATATCTAACTCATATCGATTAGTAAGATAACACGGAAAAGATCATAGTCTATTCTTTGGTTGCGTTTCTATTGAGTTTTCTTACAATTCTTTATAATTAAATTATTTATTTAAAAAAAAAATGTTTGAATTTTTATCTATTTTAGATAATTAATAATCTGATATTATTTTTAGTTTGATTACTATCAAGATTTGTCAATGTTAAAACTAAAAGTAATCACATTTCAATGAAGTGTTAATAAATTATTTTTAATAAAATTTTTCGTAATAACTTCATTATTGAATATAGTTCCTCTATTATCTCGATTAAATATTCTAAACTCATTTATTAATATAAATGTAGATAAATATGTAAACTAATCTGGAAAAGTCTTTTGAATGTTATTGATCAATATTTTTTTTATTACATAATTGAATATGATTTAGTGTACGTTATCATTAGATGAGTTATGTTGACTATTTTTCGACTTTAATAGATTAAATCGATATCAAACTTTATTTTAGATATGAATTGTTTATCTGTGGATATTGATACGCATTTTCCAGTTGCTGGTTGTTTACCTAAGCAACCAACTGGTGCATTACAATTATTAACAAAACATCCTCAATATGATGGACGTCAAATAACCATTGCTGTTATTGATACAGGAATTGATCCATTAGCAAATGGTCTTCAAGTATTTATTTGACATTTTTTTTTTCTCAACTTAAAAAAAGCAAACTATTATTTTGTTTAAATATATTTTCGTCTTTTTTTTTGTCTTTAGAAAACTAGTACAGGAAAAGAAAAATTAATTGATTTACGTGATAGTACCGGAAGTGGTGATGTTGATATTTCAACAATTGTTAAAGTAATATCCAATAATAATCAAGAAGATCGAATAATTCAAGGTTTATCAGGAAGAAAATTAAAAGTAAAAAACGAAAAATATTTTTTTTTTTAGAAATAAACACTAATTAAATATATTTTAAGATACCATCACATTGGAAAAATCCATCAGGAAATTATCATATTGGAATCAAAGCATTAAAACAAATTATACCAACGTCTGCTTTTGAACGACTTTCAGTAAAGAAAAATTTTTCAAGAAAACAAAAAAAAAAATAAATTTATCGATTAATAGAAAGAACGTCGTGAAAAAATATTTGAACCTGAACATCGTCTTGCTTTAGCTGAAGCTCAACAACGTCTTAATGAACATATTAGTTAATATCCATCACCGAATGAAGTCTGTCTATTCTATTACATTGATTTTATTTTTTGAAAAAAAACAAAAAAAAGATTTTCTTTTTTTTTTGTTGTTGCATGTTAAGGAACAAAAATTGATGCGAGAAGAATTTCAATCGTTTGTTGATGCTTTAAAAGAAGTTGAAAAGAAATATAATGATCCTGGTGCATTTCTTGATTGTATTGTTTGGAATGATGGAGATACATGGATGTTAGTATTGTTTTATATAAGTAATTTTTATTTATTTTTTTTTTAAATTCATTTATTTTCTATTTAAGTGCATGTATCGATACAAGTGAACAAGGAGAATTAGATCAATGCAAATGTTTAACAAATTATATTGATTCTCATGAATTTGCAACATTTAGTGCTATAGGTTAACAAAAATAGCACAAAAAAAAATAGAAATAATATTTTATTTTATTACTTTAATTAGATATGGTCACTTATTCAGTTCAAATTCATCATGAAATTAATATTCTTGAAATTGTTGTTGCTGGAGGTTGGTTATTTTTTCTATTCGTTATCTTAAAAACAATCTTAATATTGATTTATAGAATATTAAAGACCTATTAAAACTTCAAATATGCATCTATTTTTTAGGATTTCAGTTTTTGAAAAATAATCTACAAAAGGAACTATTCAGACATATGAGACAATAATCATTAAGACGAGATACTTGTTTATCTTCGATATCAATCAAAGGTTTATGACATTATTTTAGGCTAATATTTTCCTTGTGAACTAATATTTTGTTCCATAACTATAAAAGAAAATAATTGCCTTTTCCATTAGTTTATTAAATTGAAGAAAACGTGTTGTTCGGTGATAAATTTGTGTTATAGCATGAACAAACTTTTTAAAAAATTAAAAAAACACAAAAAAAAGATAAAGATAAAAATCAAGAACTGATATATTAAGGTGTGTTTAACTTTAGGAAGTTGTAGAGTTCACTAGTATTCTCAATTGAAATTTCATTTGTCTTTGAAGTTTTACTTCGTTCATAGATAATATGGAAAGTATCAATAGAGATAATGCTGTTAAGTTTTATTGAGTTATTTTCTAAACCAAAAACAGAGATATACTAATTATGTATTACTACTTGACATCGATAAAGAGTCTGTACGTGTTATTTAGATTTTTCAATCGTAGCAAATCTTTTGAACATTTCTGATAAGAATTTTAAATAAGAAAAAAATATATTTTTGAATTTGTTAACTATATAGATGATAAACACAAGCATAAACTAATTTGACTTAAGTCAAATTTTAATTGATACAAATAATGAATATTGAATTTTGAACGAAAGATTCATTCTTTATCTTCATAGCACATTTAACTTTTGAAATGTTTTATACCATCTATAAAGTGAAGCATTTAGTAGATTCATTCTAACATGTTATAATTAACATTATCTTCAAGATACTGTATCCTGTTTAAGAGAATCATCTTAAGAAAATTCAATTTTCATCAAAAAAAATTATGAGCTGAAATCTACTCTTTTAAAATACATATAGCCTTTTGGAAGAGGAATAGATTTTAATAGACTTATTGAGAAAAGACACGAGTATTACTATAATAGTTTCTAGGAAACTGTTGTACTCCTGTTAAATTTTTCTCAAAAAAAAAAAAGAAAAATTTGAAATGCCTTCAGATATAATCAATATTTTGCTTTCTATTTTACATTCTTAGCTGAGAGTACATTCTTGTCCAATCAGGTTTTTTTACAATTGATTTCTATATACAAAAAAAAAACGAGATTTAAAATAGAAAGATCCCACTGTTTATATTTGAAATTACTTGAAAATGTGTATCTAGTTTAATGACAAACCTTTAGGAATTCTTCTGGAGGTCATATATCAGTTATGACCAATCTGGAAGTTCGATGTGTCTACCTGAAATTTTTACTAGAACATTTCTGAAAATGTCAATTCCGAACTGTCTATCCTAAGTGCAAAGTTTTCTGTGAAAAAGAAAGATTTCGTCAATATAATGAAAAATCAATGAATTACGATCATGTTTATGATCACATAAATGATTGATCGTTTAGATTTATTTTCATGAATATTTATGTTATTTGAAAAATATTGAAACTTAACAATCTATAACAAATTGTTAGATTAAACATTAAATAATGAGTCGTACGTGTATGAAAGAAAATCTATTCGATGAAATAAATATTTGAAATTAGCGAGAGCCCGTGCATACTGCACGGATGCTTTTTTTCCTGTGAAGTTTCACTTCGGTCCTTTAGCCTTGATTGGGAAATAGACAAAAACCCAGTTCGCATTATATCTGTATATAGAGATCGTACAGCCTGATACCATTGTAGACTCATACTCTTGTTGTACTACTTCTTTTAGCCTTATTCCGTTATTTCCTTATCCCTTATATCCTTTCCAGCCTTATCCATTTATACCATATACCCTTATCCCCTTTTACTCTTTTAGCTTTATTCCTTATGCCCATGTAGCCTTAGCCTCTTATCCCCTTTACTCTTATATCCTTATCTCCTTATTCCCTACTCCCTTATAGCCTTATAGCTCTTGTGGACCTATGGGTACCACAATACAATAGCCCTTGAGGACCTGTGGCTTCCTCAATATAATAGACCTTGAGGACCTATGGGTACCCTCATAGGATAGCCCTTGAGCACCTATGGGTATTCGTATAGGATAGCTCTTGAGAACCCAGACGTATCCCCCATAGGATAGTTCCTGCTGACCCAGGGGTACCCCCATAGCATAGTCCCGGAGGATCCAGAGGTACCTGCATATAATAGCCCTTGAAGGCCCAGGGGTACTTCCATATAATAGCCCTTGAGGACCTATGGATATCTCCATATATTAGCCCTTGAGAGCCCAGTGGTACTTCCATATAATAGCCCTTGAGGACCTATGGGTATCTCCATATAATAGCCCTTGAGAGCCCAGGGGTACTTCCATATAATAGCCCTTGAGGATTCAGAGGTACCTGCATATAATAGCCCTTGAGGTCCCAGGGGTACCTCCATGTAATAGCCCTTGAGGACCTATGGGTATCTCCATATCATAGCTCTAGAGGACCTGTGAGTACTTCCATATAATAGCCCTTGAGGGCCCGTGAATGCCCTCATATATAACAGCCCTTACAACCTTCCCCTAATAGCCTTATCTGACCTTTGACCTTTGACCCGGCACAGACAGACACTGAACATTATATATATAGATATTTATTTGTTTAGAGTATAAATAATATTGTTTTTATTTAGGTTCTCATGGGACTCATGTTGGTGCTATTTGTGCGGCTTATTTCGAAGAATCATGTGAAGAAAATGGTATTGCACCTGGTGCACAACTTTTATCAATTAATATTGGTGATCATCGTTTATCAACAATGGAAACAATTCCGTCTTTAGTTCGAGCTGTTTGTTTCAAATTTATTTATTTTCTACTGAAACAAAATTTTCTTGTTTTTTTTTATTAGATAAAATATTGTATTGACTACAAAGTAGATATAATAAATATGAGTTATGGTGAAGATTGTCATATTCCAAATTCTGGGTAAGAATCTATTTATAAAAAAAACTAAAGAAAAGTTGCATTTATATATAATATAGACGAGCTCAAGAATTATTTAATGAAGCTGTTGAAAAACATGGAATAATATTTGTTTCATCAGCTGGTAATAATGGTCCAGCATTAAGTACAAATGGTGCACCTGGCGCGACATGTACAAATCTTATTGGTAGGTAAGTTATTTATGAAATAAAAATAGTATACTTCTTTTTTGTTTTTCATTTATTATTTATTAGGTGTTGGTGGTTATGTTACACCTGAAATGCAATTAGCTGAATATGCATTAAGAGAATCTACAGGTTGTACAACACCATTTACTTGGTCATCACGTGGTCCATGTTCTGATGGATGGTTAGGAGTTTGTATTAGTGCACCTGGTGCTGCTATTACGAGGTTTGTTTATTTTCATATTAAATAAAAAAAGAATAAATTTTGTTCTATTTATTTAGTGTTCCTCAATTTAATTTATGTCAACGACAATTAATGAATGGAACATCAATGGCATCACCAAATGCTGCTGGTTGTATTGGTAAAATTGATTTTTTTTTCTTTTTTTCTAAAGAATTCTTCAATTTTATTTTGTTTGATTTTTTTTTGATTTAGCTTTATTATTAAGTGCATTAAAACAAGAAGAAATCGAATATAGTCCACCATTAATTCGTCTTGCATTAATGAATACAGCACAAAAATTAGATGATGAATTTTCTGTTGGTGCTGGTCTTATACAAATTCATAAAGCTTTAGATTATATTCGTTCATTAGTTAAACCTTCATTAATATCAAAAATTCAATTAGATATAACTGGTGGTCAAGGACGAGGAATTTATTTAAGAGAATTTGATCAAGTTCAAACAAGTTCAGGTGATATACGTTTAACAATTAAAACAAAATATTTACCAAAAAAAACTGATCAATTAGTTACCTATGAAGGTATATTAAAATACTTTGTTTTTTCATTTAAACAAAAAAAAAAAAAAGAAATCTTGATTTAGATCAAGAAGTAAAAATAAAATTTGCTTGTCGTTTATCATTAATATGTGATCCACCAGTTAGTTATGTTCAACATGGAAAATTTCTTGATTTAGCTTATAATGATCGAACATTTGATATAAGAATTGATCCATCACATTTAAAAGAAGATCAAGTTCATTTTACAGAATTACAAGCATTTGATACTAATCAAATTAATGCAGGACCATTAGCTCGTTTTCCAGTAACAATTATAAAACCACTCAGGTAAAAATAAAAGAAACTAAATAATAATTTGTTATTTCTATTATGTATAAAGTGTAAATTCACAAACACATTCTCTTGATTTTCATGATCAAACATTTAAAGCTGGTCAAATTCGTCGTCATTTTCTTCAAGTTCCATCTGGTGCAAACATTGCTGGTTTGTATATATATATATATTGTAAATATTAAT